ACTTATTCATTAGTATGAATTAACAGACATTCTGGTATATGTTAACATTTTTGTGAAACAGTTATAAGAACCCGTATAGAACAAAATGCCATTCATTAGAATTATGAATGTACAACATTTGCAATTTATTTGCAAAGAAGGCTTAAGAAACAAAAAGAGTATCAGGTTCATATTCATAATAAATATTTGAAAAATAAAAATTTCCTTTCTGATATTAAAACAGAAAGAAATCAACAATGCCAAGTGTAGAAAGCAAGTGATGGGGGAGAAAATGGTTTCCACACACAGTTTCCTTCAACAACATTTTCCATAGCCTTACTGAATTCACTGATAGTTCTTAGGTATATTCTGGATCCTGGAGAGAGAAAAATATATTTTTTTTAATTTTCCTGGATGAAAGGAGTTGCCTTAGATCATTGCAGGAAGGGTGTTCTGGGAATAAAGCCAATGTATATAGAGAAATGGAAAGTTCAGGTAGCCCACAGACATGGAAAGATACTGGAAAGCAAGACTATATAGTTGGGATAATGCAAATATATATCTTACAGCAGTGCCCCAGGAGTAAAGAGCAGCAGCAGATGGAGAATTATCTGGACATAATAATAGATAAAAAAATTTATAATAACATTTATAAATTTATGATGTCAGACAACATAAACTTCATATGGGAAATCACACCCATTAGTGGAATGCCCCATCAATGTTGACAACATGGACGTGGTTATAAACAGCTGCAACAATGGGTGCGTACACACATACTAACTTTGTCATTAAGTTGGCTTAATTTTTTTTAAAGCCGACTTAACTTTCAGAGTGTATACATGCATGTGGAGCAGTCATCTTGAATGCAGCACAAGATAATACACCTCCATGGTGTATTATATTGAGCCACATTAGTTAAGTTGACTCAGCTCACAAGATGGCTGCCACCATATCAGGGAGATGTATATGTGTATGCTTTGACGTGGCTTAACTTAAGTCAGCTTCAGCTTAAGTCATTTTAGTTAAATCAGATTATTTTAAGTTGGCTTAGTATGTGTGTACACACCCAATTGTATCAATATCGAAAAGATGCCAAAGCCTGTTATAATGCAACTTGGCATGATTCCAAACCAATAAAAGACAAGGGGGGGAGGTGGCAAAACTGCTACAATGTTAACTCTGTTAACACTTACATTATAATAACTGATACCATTTCCTTAGCAGCAGCCCCCCTCGCCTTTTAAAAGCCATTAAAAGGTACATTTGTCTATACCCTGAAATGCATCGGTGGCCAGAGGGACAGCATAGGGCCTACATATCACTGAAGACCAATGTAGGGCCTATTTTGATGACTTATATTATGCAGATATTGTATTGGCTCTTTGTGTAGGGGTGACTTTCATCTTAAGTAGCTGTGAAAGATACTGCACTACTAGATATTATTTTTTACACTAAAAAAAGTTACCTTATAACTGTAAACAGAGCCCTATAATTAAACCTTTGTCTCTTATAGTTGAGTGTTCATCATGTATATAAAGCAAACATTTTGGCAATTTTATTATACCCTTCAAGACTACCAGGGAATTACTGGAATCCCAAAATTACAACAAACTCTTTTCAAATTTGCTTTTGAACCTTTTTACTGATTGTGCCCGCCTCCGCTCGATCAGGCGCTCTTGGGCTGCTCTAGCCCGAGTGGCCATTCTCACTGGCCACGGGCTCACGAAAGGGCCCCGGGAGATGCCTCGGGTGGTGACTGGAGGCCCCCTAACCTCGCCTGCCACGACTTTGAATGTAACTTCAGTGGTGGGGG